AAGAGGAAGACGAAGATGACCGGAGTGATCTTCATTCTCGCGGTTGTGCTGATGCCACAGACAAGGAAAATGAAGAAGCAAAAGAGGAAGGATATGATGATGACCACAAGCTGTCGTACATGTGACGACAAGAGAGCATCATCAGGGTGACGACGATGACGGCGATACGACGACGGTAGCGTTGCTGGCACAATATATGGGGGATGACCACACGGCCAGTGAGGGTTATGATGGTTCTGATGAAGAAGAGGATCATGACCATCATGAATGATGAGAGTGCTGGTGATGATGACTATGATCACGCTGGTGGTGGTGGTGGTGGTGGTGGAGAAGAAGACGATGCTGATGATGATGATGGTGATGATCGTGAGGAGGAGGAGGAGGAGGAGGAGGCCAGGTGTGCTGGCGCTGCTGACGATGCCGCTGCTGCTGATGATGATGACGATGCGATAATGATGAACAAGATGATGGTGATGTCAGGATATGCTGGTCGTTGATGAAGATGATGGTGATGTCGATGCTGAGGATGCAGATGGCGACTCTGGTGGCGGTGCTGGTGCTGGTGGGGTGGCGGTGGTAGCGGCGGTGGCGGTGGCAGCGGCGACGGCGGTAGTTATTTTTCCGCGGTTATATTCCTTGGGCCGATGACGTGTGCATGATGAGATAAGCAGGATCATTCGTAGCATTGAACTTCATAGTAACTCTTGCAGGTACAGTCTGTTGTGCTTTCCCGTCAGTTTTCATTTCTTTGCAGTGAATTCTCGTGGATGGTCGCAGCCCAGGGCTTGCTGCAAACCCTACACTGTACTGCTACCCACTGGCTTGCAAGGCAGCTCAGCCAATTGGTTGCAGACTTGAACAGCATCAGTGCCAAGGAGGTTGGGGAGTTCGACGAGAAGCTGCGGCTGGACAACGGTCTAGACTGGCAGATTTAAGAGTTCAAAATGATTGTTGGTTAAGGTGTAGGGCCACGGCAACTTGCGAAGGACCCGTCGCTCTACCGTTTGCAGCACGAAGATGGTGCTGAAGTTGGCCGCCACTTCGGGCTCATGGTGGCCTCTATCAAAAGCAAGGTCGCCGTGATCTTCTCTAAGCTAGGCTAGATCACAAAGAGCCGTAAAGCACCTGTAGTGAAACCGTGCAGGAGCGCGCTCAAGCAAAGATCAACACGGACTACCAGCAGGACCTTTGCAGGGCGGTCTGTATGCGAGCATGTCAATGTGAGGAAGTCGTATTTGTGAGAAAACAAAACGTCTGCAGGACTTCGAGGCCGAGAAGAAGAAAGAACAGCCACTGGCGCGAAGCTTTGCTTCCTTTAGCATGCCGTGTGGCTTCGAAACCAGAAGGACCACGACTGCTACTACTACTACTACTACAACGACTATCACAACGACGACTGCTAGAACCGCTACTCGTTCTTCTTCTACCACGACTACTACTGCTGCTACTACGACTGCTGCAACAACTGCTGCTGCTGCTGCTGCTGCTCCTCCTCCCCTCCTCCTCCTCCTCCTCCTCCTACTACTACTACTACTACTGCTACTACTGCTACTACTTTTACTATTACTATTTTTACTACTACTACTACTACTACTACGACGACGAACACTACGAACACTACGACCATCACTACTACTACTACTACTACTACTACTACTACTACTGCTACTACTAGTACTACGACGATGACGACCACTACCACTACCACTACCAGTACCACTACCACTACCAGTACCACTACCACTACCACTACCACTACCACTACGACGACTACTACTACTACCACTACTACTGCTACTAGTGCTACTACTACTACTACTACTACTACTTGCTACTACGACTACGACTACTGCCACGACGATGACCCTGACGAGTCTCGCGACTTTTTTCTAGTAATCACGAGAACTACATGTGTTGCCGCTACACACTGTGACGATAGCTGCTAACACTGCTTGTGCTGTTGCCGTTTAGTTTTTCTTCTGTCAGAAAATCCCTTCACTTTCTTTCCTATTTTACCATGGTCGCAAAGATGGCGGCAAGCATTTCTTTCCTGGTTTGCAATGCTCGTGTTGTTGGATGCTGTGCTTGTTAGTTGTATCGATTGCAAGCATCATTTTCAAAAATGCGGATATTCTATGCGTTTCTCTCTTGGGATTATTCCACTTGTGGCAAAAGCTGGAATCACTTGAGACGACTACGGCTGGGTTTTACTGCTCCTCCGGCTGCTGCTGCTGCTGCTGCTGATACTGTTTGTGCAACTTCTCCTCCTCTTTCGACGACGACGACGACAACGAATACCACGACAACCAGGACGACTTCTACAACCACTAAAACCTCTAGCACTAGTGACTAGTAGTACGACGACTCCGAGTGCTACGACTGCGACGACTGGCTGGACAGCCTTTGCGGTTGCTAAGATCACGATCTCTCCTATGCAGAACAGTTCAATCCACGATGTCCAACACTTCTCCCCATAACCTTTGCACACCTCGCCGTTCGTGGGCGGCTTAGTGGATAAAACGCTCGCGAAGACGGATGACAGCAAGGCCGGACCTGGCTGCATGTCCACGGTCTCTGTGGGTTCTTTGAAAAAAAAGGCGCTATAAACAAATCAGGGTTGAGGGCTCATCACCACCATGCCTTTCATACTCATACTCGGTTCAGTGGCTATCGCCATAGCCAGAGTCTTGGAGTCAACACCATGCCCTCGCCCAAGGATATGTGTGTGACTTCCTGCGTGCCACTATCTACGCAGCGGACCCATTTGCGCTGGCCCTCGCCTTCCACGAGTTCCAGGACAGCTCGAAGTCTCTTTCCAAACTTTCCGAGCGTGAACCTTCGCATGCATCCTCGACCTGCCCTGAAGAAGCGCTTCAAGATCGTGCGAGTGAAGAACAAGTTTGCGAACGAGAAGCTGAAAACGGAGGCCGCCCGAGCTGTGATGGGGTTGCAAGGCAGCGTGTCCCCTGTTTTTGGAGGAGCGAACGAACATTCTCGTCAACTTCTGGATTGAGACAGCAGACATGAAGCAGATCGGTGAAGTGCAGTTCCTCATGCAGGAGTACCTTACTGCCACAGGGCTGCACCGGAGAGATACATCAGTCTTGGCATGAGATATCGAGGGGCTATTCAGCATCTCTGCCATAGAAGTTTCTGTACTTTGCTTGAATTAGGCAACAGCCCGCCGGCCCACCGGTCATGTGCCATGTCAGCTTCTATGCCTATGCGTACAAATCACGCGATAGTTCTTTGGGTGTCCACTTGGCCCCAAGATGCAAGGCCTGCGGACCCTTCGGTACAAGCAAGAGTTCAGTAGTTTAGTAGTTTAGCACGGGTTGAACTTGACAGCTCTTCGAGTGGAGAGGCTGCATGTTTATGCATGGTTCCTTCATAGCAGGGCGGGCTTGGCGATTGCAAGTGACTGAGGCGAAGTCCATACAGCACATGTACTACGATGTGGCTCGGGCAAAGAGCGAGGACGAACTCTTCGACAAGCCGATCTTTGCCTAACGAGGCCATGCGCGCATGTCTGCATGTAGTTCTACCAGCTGTGGCTTATCCCGAAACTGCGAAACTCGGCATGGCTCCGTGCTGCTCAGGTCACGATTCTGAGGCTTCCGCGGTCGAGACCATTATACGATCTCCTCGAAAATTATTCTTATATAAAGACAATTTCTGCCGACTAATTCCAATATCTTAGAATCAATTTTATCTCGAATGATAATTCGATGATTTATATATGACAAAAATTACAGATTTATATTGGACATCTCCAATGAATAAATCAAAGATTGAAATTGAATTTTGTGAACTTTCAATTAGATTTATGAAATAAATTGAAACAATATATCTGATAGAAAAATATTATACAAATCGGAAAAAATCGAATCCAAAGATTGTCCTCTCTCTATATCTCAATTCTGAATTATTATAACTATAGAAATATGATATGATTGATTTTTTAATTATGACATAATGAACAAATGATTCGAATTAACAATTCATTATCATGAATATGAAATTCTTTTCTAAATGAATTCTATGAAAAGAAACATGATATATATATATAAAGAAAATATATCGATATAAAATCATCTCAAAATGATATAATATTAATTATGACTCGAAATTTAACGAATTTTTTTCAATATTAATTTCATTTTTGCTCTCATGATTAAAAATCGAATTAAAAATATATTAGAAAAATTATTTCTTCTGAAGATAAGCTTATTCATAGACTTTTTGGTCGATTCAAGATAAATTCATTCTGATAAAAAAGAATTAATTATAGATTTAAAGAAGCAATTGGTGCCCTTGCTCTTAATTAATAGAAAGAATTTATCTTTAGATAAGATATGAATAGACAAGATAAATTAGATATAGAGAAATGAATTCGTAAGAAAGCCGCTGCTAATAGAATGAAGAAATCGGAATTCGTGGATTTATTAGCCTTGAATAAATCTATCTCTCCGACTTATTCCATAGATTAACATTCATATTTTTTTCATTTACCGATTTGAAATCTAAATTCGTGCACGAAGCTCTCGAATATATATTTAGAGGTTGAATGATTTTTATTTATCGATTCGATATTGATTTTGGAATCTAATATATCACGATTCTCAGATTCCGGCAAAATTAGAAAAAAATATATATAATTATTCATAATTTAATTGATCTAATCTACTTTCTAGAATAGATAATTCAAGTTCTTTTGAATTCTTATGCTATATTTTATCATTAAACAGAGCCTCCTCATTAGATTTACGCTCAAAATTGGGACAAATTAATTCATCTAATAATCTCATAATGATTTCATATTGATATATTCGATAATTCTTCAATCCCCCCCGTCGTCTTAATATCTACGAAATTATTTGGCTAAGAAAAGATTTGAACCTAAAATATGGCAAGATTTAAACTTATTAAGCAATCAAGAATCTATTGAAAAAAAGAAGAATCAAAAAAATATGAGATATCTAATTAAGATGCCAATCGAATCGAATAAGATATCGAAAAAAATATATAAGATTCAATGATCAATCCATAGATATATAATATAAAATAAATAAGATCTATATTGAAAAGAGAAAATCCGAGCCCTAGCCCTTAGCCTCAGTCCCACTTTTCCCAGCCCAGCCCCCAACAACCAGCAGCCCCAACCCAGCCCAGCCAACCCAGCCCCAGCCCACCAACCCAATCGCAATCCCAACCCGAGCCCCCAACAGCCACCCCCAGCCAAGAAACCTTAGATTTAATATGAAGATATTTAAGAATTCTGAATATAAAAAATATTCTGAATATATATATGTCGCATAACAAATCTAATCAATTCATGGCTTGAACAAATTCAAAAGATAATATCTATCAAGAATTGATTTAATCAAATTCTAGATAAATATTCAAATTGAAATTCATAATAATATTAATAACCTCCAAGTCTCGAATACGAATAGAATTCATTCTCTTGCGCGGGACCTGCTCATATTGATAGATCTATGAAATTGAGAATTAGAGTATTCAAAGAATTATGAATAAGGACCGTAGAGATCTTTGCTGGTCTGGACGATCATAAATCCATCCAATAGAAGAATAAATAGATTATATTTCGATTGATATTTTTATTATTCGATATATCGCCATAAGATTGAGATAAGTGAGATCTCGATCTTAATAGAGATCTTAATTCGTTCCGGGGACTAGTATCGAGCTAAAATATATCTATAATATATGATTCGAAGATCGCGCAAATAAGAATTAATATCATAGAAATTATCTTTAATTTATTATGAACTCATGAAATATGAGATTCTTATTCTGAGATTTGAGATTCTTTGAATAAATTATCAATGATATTCAATAATGGTCGTCGAAAGATCAAGATATAGATCTAATTTCTGATAAATATACGGAGAAGATCAACACTAATAAACAGAAAATATTCGTTGACCAATCTTTCTAAAGATTGATCTATGGAAATGATGAAAGCATATCTCGACAAGATTTTGGAATAATTTCTATAAGAAGATTAGAATATAATTCAAGACTAGAAAATTGAATCTCATTTATAAATCTCGTATAACAAAGATCATTAGAATCAAAGGCCGACGAGCTCTTCAATATAGGGAAAATAATAGATGATATTTCTCAATGTTCTAATCGTATTTATTTTGAAATTATGATAAAAATCGATAAAATGATAGAGTGGTATTTAAAGTGATCCTAGAAATTAGAAGAAGAGTATTTAATAATTAATCGGTCTAAGAGATTTATAAATAATATTAGTAGAAAATGAGCTCTGATTCATATTAATGATTTCATATTTATCTTATCGTAATCAATATTCGTGCCAATCCAAAAGGTTTCGTCTATTTCATCTTGCATCTATAGATAAAGAAGTCATTTCTTGAATTTCAAAAATACGAAGGAATTCGAAATTATCTCAAATTGAATCTAAAAAAGATGAATTCTATATGATCCGTGACGAAGACAGATCTATTGATCTCAGATCTTCATAATATCTCAATTTCGACATCAAAATATTCTGAAAATCTAAATATGAAATATCTTTAAAGATTTCAGATTGGGAGTCGCTCGAAAGAGATAAGAATTTTGAGAATAAAGATTTGGTATCTGGAAAACGTTATGGCAATTTGATTGAGAATAGGGAATTAATTATTAAAAAGATTAGCAATTTTGAGAGGAAGGAAATAATCTCTTTAATTTCAAGATTTTAAGAATAAAGAATATTTCGCGTAAAAAATGAGGGAATTTGGGAGGACGGTTGAAGGAGTTAGAAGATCTTTAGAGAATCCGAGAAAAGAAAGAACTAAATCGAAATAAATTTAGAGATTTCAGAATAAAAGATATCTCAGACAATTAGAGATTTAGAATTTGAGAAAAATAAGAATATTTAAATCAGATAAAATTGAAAATTACAATACACGTCTCCATTTGAAAAGATTAGAAAACTAAAGAGACCAGAATTTAATATTTATCAAGTATTAGAATAGATTGTTATTCCCAGAGATCTAATCTTCTTCAAGATAAAATTAATCTTAACTAATAAAGATCATTCGATAGAGAACAGAAGTCTTCAAGAAATAAAAAATTCGAGAGATTTACAAGATTAATTTGAAAAATTCGATAGATTTGATATAAATATATATCATAAATCTAAAGAATATCATCGATAATTACGTCTCGTCTCTTCTCATAAATAAATTCTTTATAAGATAATCATATATTTATTTAAAATTAGAATATTAGGATCTAGATCAACAGATTTAATCTATTACCAATATAATAGAATATATATTTTCTAAATTTTCAGATTAAATAATATCATTTTCGAAATAAATAAAAAATATATATTTTATTAATTAAATTTAAAGAGAGTTT